GTAAAAATGTTGTTCACTTTTTTTGACTTTATTATCTGCATACTATAGATGTACTTTCATGGACCACTGAAAGGAGGAAATGGCTCACATACTTTACTCAAGAGTGTGATAGGCAACAGGCTTTTAAGGGGCTGCCACAAAGAAAGGGGGACAATGTATTTTCTAAAGAAGCAGAATGCAAAGAAGAGGCAATGAAACTGAACAGAGAGAATCAACCTAAAACTAAGGAGAAACTTCCAGACAGTGAGAACAATTAACCAGTGGAACTGCTTGTCTCCAGAAGTTCTGGGTGCTCAATCACTGGAAGTTTTTGAGAAAAGACTAGACAGCCATTTCTCTGAAATGGTATAGGTTTCCTCCCAAGGTCCCTTCTAAGTATTATTCTGATACCTTTCCCAGGATTTCTACTCAGTTTGGCATCGTCAGTTTTCTTGCCTGAGCTGGGGGTTGGACTAGAAGACCTCCAAGGTCCCTTTCAACTCTTGTTAAACACATGTGTATTTTATGCTCTGGATTATTGATATTGAATGCATGTAATCCATGAAAAATATGTGGTAGCCCTGGGCAAAAGAAAGGCAGAAAAATCACTCTAGGTGTAGGAACAGTGTAAAATATTGACACGTGATAAATAATGGAACAATTAAAAATAATAGCAGAGAGTTCTCTCTCTCTCTCTCTCTCTCTCTCTCTCTCTCTCTCTCTCTCACACACACACACACACACACACACACACACACACACACACACAGATCCCTCACACCTCCACCCCCTCCAAGGCAGCCCCATTCCTAGCCTGCTTTGAGCTCCCTTCTCAGGCTGCATGCAAGGAAAGCAGCAGAAGCTTTCTTTCTCTCCCCACAAACTCCACCAGAAATGAGTCTTTGCTGGTGCAGCCTCCTGGAGCAGGATGCCTTGCAGGGTCCCAAAGACTCATTTCTGGTGGAGTTTGAAGGAGAGAGAAAAAGACTTTTGCTGCTTTCCTTGTGTGCAGCCAAAAGCGGAAGACGAAAGGAGTGGAAAGAAACAACCCGGTGGCCAGGCAAGTTCCCCCACTCCGCCCTTTCCCCCCTGCCCTCACTACCTCGTGTTGTTCCTTTCCCCCACACCCGGGGAGAAGGAGGATATGGGTGTGGCAGCAGTCCAGGGGGACAAAAGAAATTGGCTGGCTAGTCTTCTCTTTCTCCACCTTTTTGTTCTGTATGGCCGAGGAGGAGATCAGCTGGCCAAAGGGGCGGCTGCTGGAGGCGACTTTTTTTCGGTCTCCAGTCGCCTTTTCAGCACCGAAATCCTCCCCAAATCAGTTGGCTAGTCGTCTCCTTCTCTGCCTATTTGTTCTGTATGGCAGAGAAGGAGATGACCAGCTGGCCCATTCGGGGAGGATTTCTGTGCTGCGAGAGAGGCGGCTACTGATCTCCGGCTCGGCTCCGCTACTCCAATGGTCCGGCCCTTCCCTGTTCTAGGTGCCGGCTGCTCAGACTTGCCGAGCCCGGCAAATAGAACAGGGTGTGTTTTTTTCGGAGCTGCTGCTGGACTGCAGCCGCACCAAATAAAGCACACAGCAGCTGCAGGCATCTCATGACAAGCGAGGAGAGGACCCCTGGAATATCCACTCACCCACCTGCTGGCTGGGCCGGGCTGAAAGAGGCGCGTCTGTCGGGAGAAGGAAGAAAATGTGCTCCAGGAGGGCAGGCAGGCGGTTGGATGGCCCAGGGCTGCTGCACATGCGCACTGCATGTGTAGTGGTTGCACATGCAGTGCGCATGTGTAGCAGCCCTGGGACATCCGCCCGAGCTGCGCCACAGCCACCACATGGAAGGGAAAGCTAGGAGAGCGACCGGGGCAAGTGAGCGACTGGGAGACTGGGTCGGTGGCGTGGCCAGCCAGGGGTCGCTACCGGTTTGGCGACCCATGCCAAATAACCGCTACCAGTTCACCCAAATAGGTGCGAACCGGTTGAATACCACCTCTGGAATCAAGTAATCAATGTGATCTTCTTCCATAGTTAAGTTCGTAGTTATTCTTAGGTAATTTTAAAAAACAAAATGTACAACTTGAACAAGGAACTGCAATGTCAAGAAAATCACCTTCAAGTATTCACTGTATTCATCTTCAAACTTCCTGCCCCAAATACTGATTCCTCCTTTCCCAGAACCTGATATAATCAGAAAGAGATGGGTCCAGAGACAAAGGAGAAGAAACAGATACATGGATCAAGTGGGCTCCAAAATCAAGGCACAAAGTGAATAGCACAAATATCTCCATAAATCCAGGTATCTTCCTCTTTAGCCCAAAAGGTGTATCTCACCCAATTCCCTTCCACCCCCACCCCCCAAAAAGTAATAAATAAGATGGAGTAGTTTTCTCACATTTCAGGTGGAGTTTCTAAAAAACAGATGCTAGCTGCTCAAACTGCAGGCACACCTAAGTTTAAAAGAACTCTCAAATCCCAGTAGTTTATAATTTCAAAATGTTTGTGTGGGTTTATTTTTTTTTAGATCTGCTGAATATACCTATCTATACAATAGGTTTTCCCCTGCTTACTTTTTAAAATTCAAGTTTTAAAAAAATTACAGAGCGGTTTTTGGTGCTCCCTGAACCATAGTTTTTTCTTGGGTGTTTTCTTGCAGACATTTCATTACCCATTATCAATCGGGCAGGAAGTGGGGTTTGCTTTGTTTATATTCTAGTGGCTCCCTCTGTTGGCTGTTGGTGGTGTTGGGGTTAGCTTGCTTAGCCCTTCCTTGATTGGAATATTGCCTGCTTATTATTGGTCTGATGTTAATATAGATATTAATCTCTGCTCATCTGGGTATTAAAAACACCAACTTAGGCAAATCAGTTTGCAAACTTTACATAGTAAATATATAAAATTATAATTATCATGTTCATATTTGTAATAAAATGCTTTTCTTAACAGTAAAGTAGTCTTGCTTCAGGAGAATGGCATAGTATATCTAATTTTCATAAAAGGTATTACCAGTTGGGTCTCCTGTCTGAACCATAAAGCCTTTGATATTTCGATGAAAAGTACAGCCATTGTAGTAGTTACTAGCACAGAGAGCCAGAAAATTCTAAGAAAAAAAGCAGAAAGTCAGTTAAGAAACAAACCATGATACAAAATATTTATACTCATTCCAAAGACTTCTGTAGCCATAACAGCCATGACCAAGTGCCGTGCTTAAATAGGGCTCAGTGAAATCTGAATATTCCTTTCATGTTTCCTTCTCTCTTCTGCAGCTAAGCCCTCACTGATTGTTAGTGAGAAGTCAAATAAATCAGTTCTAAAACATATTTTGACAGCTATGTCATTTAAATACATCATAGTTAATAGAATGCAAGTAAAAGGTATGAACTAAAATGGATGAAAATGCTCAATGCAGAGCTGTAAAATGTCAGAAATAGTAAGTTTATCTGGTTTTATTTATTTTGTCAAAACTGAATGTATAGATATAAAAGGATTAGGCAATTAACTTTATAAATTGCAGGAGAATGCCTATTAAGACATGAAAATGGTTAGTACCTTCTAAATCTTTGGAAATTGTAGTTCCTAAAATTTCCAAGCAAGCGTGGCCAATAAATTGGGCCTAAGAATTCTGATCTTAGCTGCATCAGATTAAAGAAATATAGGGTTGGAATGAGCTTAAGGAAGATCAACAAAGCATATCTACCATAGTTTGTTGTCTTATAAATTCTCTTATACTGAGCATTTTATTTATAAAATCTGAATTGTTCCTCAATTCAATGTTATTTTTTATTTTCATGACTTACTTGACAAGCTTTTGGTGTTCGTTCACAGAATAACTCAATTTTAACATCTCCAACATCAGTGTGCAATGTGACAGCCTGCAGAAGGAATTGAACTATATTATTTTTTTGCAGCACACAAAACAGTCAAATGTACTACAGCAATCCAATTAAAATAATTGACTGTAAAAGGAAATACAGTGCATATGTGCCTCTCATTAATTAATTTCTAAGGGATAACAGAGTTCCAGTCCAACAAATTCTTAAGAGTACCTTGTTGGAGAAAGTTAACTTAAATACCAGTTCATAGTTCTTTTGCAGAGAATATACTACCATCAATTTTCTGCATTTTAAATGTCAGGCCCAGAATGGGTGTGTACAATAGGTTGGACTCAGCTTTAGTCATGTTTATAGAGTGGGCTAAAATCATCCAGGCAAGTCAGTACTACAATTATTATAATTTTTCATCATCATCATCTCAGCAAGGCTAATTGGAGATCCAACACCCATAAAATATAAATCAAGTTTTATACTGATCTTCAAACAGGCAGGTGTTTGATCTTTCTCCACAGAGATCACAAGGCATGGGTATTCATTGATTTCGGTGTTAAAAGCCCAAAGAATATGGATGCTGGATTGCTGATGAGGTCTAGTCAAAACGCCTCTGGGAAACGTTTCACCCAAGATCTGGCCAAGGGATCCGTCTTTCAAAACTCCCTATGTCCAAGAATGCCAAGTCGATTCTATAGTGAACTTGTATATGGGCGCGAAGCAATAGTATTTGGTAAATGGAAGGCTGTTCCGTGAGATCTGGAGCCCCGCGTACACCTTATACGCGGTAAGGAAGGTCTTGAAGCCGCAAACCTCACCATCTTTGCCGGTTAGCGGGTAGAAAACAATGCGCCTGTGTCAGAAGGAGTCCCGAAAAGCAGCACTTCTGAAACCAGCGGAGAAACAGCACATGGTAAAGAAATCCAGGTGGAGCAGAGCTCTGGTTTCTCGGGCTATAAAGGCTTTGGGAATTTCCTCGCTGCTCCAGTCAGACGGCTGCAGCAGAAGGGACGATATTTTCGCGAGACACCCCGACGGGGCAAAAGCGAGGAGAATTCCGACCGCCTCTCAACTCGCCAGGCCAGGTCTTCGGACCCGCGAGGAAGGCGCGCAAGGCCAAATACACGCCCAACGCCTTCCCATACTATCTTCTTGCATTTAGGCCCCGCCTGCGGATCCGCCGCCGCACTCGGCCTTCCTCCCGCGAAGCGCTGGGTTCCGCCTCCGCGGTGGTGGGGAAGGAGGTGCTTGGGTCTCTCTGACCGGCCGCCCACCGCCGGCTTGCCTAAATGCGCTCGTGGAAGACGCGAGTTGAGGACGTGGTTCACACGCAGTAGTACTTTTCCAGGACGGGGAGAATGACGCGATTCGTTTCAAGAATCTGACGAAAGCTTGGCTGTTTGGGTAAGAAGGCAGCTGCAAGTGACGCGCGGGGCTGTGGTGGGGAGCGGCGATTGCAAATTCTTGTTCTTGATTGAAGGGGCTCTCAAAACTAGGAAAGCTTAGCTGGGAGGAAATACCCATTGGTTTGAGTCGTGCAATCCATCCACGAATTAAAACATACGAGTTTAATATAGTAAGGAGTTGAGAAAGGTTTTTTTTTCCTCCCTGCTTTTCTCTCGGTGGTTGCCCGGGAAAGAGGACTGTTACTTCGTATTTTTTGACGTTTCTCATGCTTTATCTCAGGAATTCGTTCACAAAACCAATGCATATCAGTGATAATAGATGAATATTGAAAAGGGGGGTGGGGAAGCAAGGCAGAAGGAATAATGGTTATCACATTTATTTTGCCAAGGTTTACAGTTGAGTTAATTCTCTCTTGGGCAAGATACCCATCTTTAAAACAGACCTTGTTTCGAATAACATGTTCACATTTCTATCGTTCTCGTGGATTTGACTGCAGCTTTCCTGATCTGATATTTTCATCTTAGATGAACAATAGCTGTTTTGAAAGATCTGAATAATTCTGGAGATGTGACCTTCATGCAGGGGTGGGATACGACAGGGTTAACAACCGGTTCGGGATTTACAGCTTCCCTGCCCTCTGTGAGCCTGGTGCCTGTCAATCGTCATTTAGCATGTCATTAGCAGGCTGCTGCCCAGAAGCAGCCTTTGACACAGCCCTCTTTTCTTGTTTTTTTCTGTTGTAATGACGAGGCAGTCAAGTTGTTTGATCATGAACAACTGAATCATGATGATCTTTATTGGAGTCTAGTCTTGCATTTATACACATTTTTAATTATCCTCCATCATTGGTTAACTTTCGTTACTGTTTAGCACAGTAATCCATACAATTAATTATCACTAGGTCTAACATATGTTTACTTCCTCTCTCTAATCCTCCTTTAGATTAGTGACTTTGTTTACCTGAGTTGTATTTTCTTGGAAACATTCTTTATCTGAGGTTTGCCATCCAAGATTGGAACATTCCTGCAATTACAACTCTACATTTTTCAGCTGTGCCTTGTTCCGCAGCTGAAGTTGAAAAAATCAGGAAATAAAGATCAGATAAGATCCCAGGTTGGTGGGTGAGCAACAACATCAGCAGACATAGAACTGTCTGCTGCTCTTCAGAGCTACCAGTTCTACAGAGGTGGACAGAACCGGTAGAAACCCACCCCTGCCTTCATGACTCATAACTTTCTAAGCCGGTTCTATTGTTTTAAAAAGCTTGCTCTTCGGAAATCAAACTTTACTGCTCCATAGGGGAATGTAGGATTTTTTTTCTGAATGTATGTATCAGGATTCCGGCAGTTATCCCCATTTAAATCTTGAGTCTCAAGCCAAACTTCCAAAACTTAAAAAGGATTTATTGGGAGTTAACATGCCAACACTGCCTGGGTGTAGCTGACTCTGAGACACATAATTCATTGTCACCCGTGACCCTGGTTTTCCCACCCACCCACTGGGTGTATCGTAATTTATATTCTACAATGGGACACATCCATAACCAAGAGTCCTCAATCATGCTCTACTTTTAGAGTTTTGTGCTGCAAAAACTTTGGTCATCTAGTTACTATCTTTGAAAACATTTATGGAATGCAGTTTTAGTTTTCCAAGCTGCTGCACTGCCTCCCCCCCCCCCCCCCACTTTCTGTTGGCAACTCTAAAAAGACCAGAGAAATATTTTATGAGTTGACATTCGGCTCCCCTCACTTCTTGAAGATGATCTGTACAACACACAAAGAAAACAAATTTATTACAGGTATGGGACTTAGGATTGTGAAACACCCCCCACCCACTCCCCAAGGCTTGGCTGGTTTTTCCGCAGGGAACCTCATCACAAGGCGATCGGCTGGGACATTCCTACTCTTTACCCACCAAGGTTCACATGATGAGTTAATTCAAAGCCAAACAAATTGCATTGTGGCTTTATCCAGCAGCATTTCCTGCTTTGACTGCATAAGCCCATCAAACTAAAAGTCTGGAGGTGTGCATATGAACATTTAATTATCAAAAGTAGGAAAATAGGGAGGAGAATTATATGTGCCCATCTTGAATTAGATGAAGTAAATGTGGAATAAAATATTTCTTGTCCAACCAGTGAAATCATGAGTTGTGAGAAAGTCATGCAAATTCATTTATCATTTTAGGAAGTTATAGTGCATCTGCTGTAATCTAGTTACATGGAACTACAGCTGGTCTTGTTACCTCCCCATTTTAAACATTTTTAAGGAAAACTAACTGGGAATCCAACCATTTTGTAAAAGCAAATTCTCAACATTTTTTTTAATTTAGTAAGTATCTTGGGCCCTCTATGGGTAATTGCTAGTTAATAAGCAAGTAAGTGCTCACCTGCACAGGAAAAGTAAGGAAAAGGTCAGATGGGAATGGTAGGAAACATCCTGAGATTAAAGAGAACAATCTCCTGTTTGCCTACTTATAAATGGGGGGGGGGTCATTGATTATTTCTTCCTTGGATGCTACTTTTGGCCCACCTTCCTAGGGAGCTTGGTCCTGTCTCTGCTACCTGATAGCACTGAATAGTTGACAGCACCATTGAAGGCACAAGATTGTCAATGCACAAGATTGAACCACACAACAAAATGTGAGGAAAATAGAAATTTGGGTGGGGTTTTTTCATTCTTTTTTAAGGCCAGAAATCAAAGATATTATCCATTCTCCCTTCTTGAAGTAAGACTTTCCAAGAATATACTGTGCTTGAAAATTGCCTAGGAATGTATTTACTGTATTTTTTGGAGTATAAAACACACACACACACACCAAAAAGTGGGTGCAAATGCCTGTGCGTTTTATACATGAATGTTGACGAAGCTCAGTCCACCCGCCATTCCCCACCCTTTGGCCTCTGCCTCCCAGCAATTTGCCTCCTTGCAGCAAACAGCCTAGTCAGATTCAGCACAGCCTGATTAGCACAAGCAGCTGAGTGTCAGTTAGATTGGCCTGTTTCAGGCTGCGGGGATTGCCATTGCCTATTGCCGCCTCCACACACCCCATTTTCAGCCTCCGCATCCCATTTTTGGTCTCTGTACACCCCAACGCCCCATTTTTGGCCTCCGCGCACCCCATTTTCTGCCCGTTCCAATCCCTGCTGCCCGGAATGGGCGGAAAACAGGGAACACAAAGGCTGAAAATGGGACATGCGGAAGTGGAAAACAGGATGCAGAGGCCAAAAATTGGGGTGCGTGGAGACAGCAATAGGCAATGGCAATCCCTACAGGCTGAAACAGCTGATTGTTGGGAGGCCAATCCAACCGACAATCAGCTGCTTGTGCTAATCAGGCTGTGCTGAAGTTGACTAAGCTGTTTGCTATTTGCTGCAAGGAAGCAAATTACTGGGAGGCAGAGGCAGGTTTTTTTTTTTATTGATTTCCTCCCCAAAAGCTAGGTGTGTCTTATACTCCGAAAAATACGGTACATGTAGTAGCTGGTACTGCCAGTTTTGGTGGGAGTGTAGTTTCCTCTTGTCTGGTGTTGATTCCCGCTTACCTATATGAGGGCTGTTGCAGAGGATGTATTCTACTCTTCTTATTTCCTTCCTAGGTTCAAGATGCTAATAGTTTCACAGTTGAAACTGGAGTTGAATTCATCCGTATGTTGTGTGACAAAAGCTCCTTACTTTCACAGCTTGATAGATCAAGCCAAATCCAAACCTGCTAGGGAATTCCTGGAAGCTTGGCATTCAGATTAATAGCAGTTAATAGACACATAGAGATGAACCACATTTACATAACATTCAAAGGCAATAATAAAAAACCTAAGAAGGAAATAAGAACACATCCCCTCCAATAGCCTACATTCAGATAAGCAGGGATCAACACTAGACAAACAGGCAAAACAATACTGTAAGGAACCCTTAAGGAGGTAATTACAACACACACACACACACACACACACACACCAAAAAACCTGGCAGGGCAAGCTGCTACATGTAAACATGCAACAAATCCCACATTTGTGCTTTTATTAACATGTTAGCTCTTGCTAACTCCATATTCACTTGCACTGATAATGTTACTGAGTCAGGTGAACCTCTCTCTGTAAGCAGACAACCAAGCTCAGAGAGCAATAGAACTCCATATTTCAGTCCTGAGCCACTGATATTCTCTTTTATTAGATTGTGCTTTCTTTTCCTTTTGTCAATGTTTTTCCTTTTGGGTTTTCTAGAAATCTGAATGTCACTGCCCTGTTTGAAGCTGACTACACGACCTTTTTTGCAAACACCCTCCTTGATTGTTCAGCCTTTGCGTTTCGTCATGGATCTGAAAGACCTTGTTACCTCCTTAAACAATTTTGCTTCGCTTTCCCTGGCTGAAAGTTGGGATAATGTGGGGCTCTTGATTGAGCCAAGTCCTCCTCATATTGTCAATACCCTTTTTCTCACCAATGATTTAACTGAGGATGTGATGCAGGAAGTCCTAGAGAAGAAAGCAAATCTCATTCTTTCTTATCACCCACCCATTTTCCACCCACTGAAACGTATAACATGGAAAACATGGAAGGAGCGTTTGGTAATCCGAGCCTTGGAAAATAGAGTTGGCGTTTATTCTCCTCACACGACATATGATGCTATACCTAATGGAGTCAATGACTGGCTTGCTACAGGACTGGGTGAGGCATTCTTGTTAATAATGACACTATATGTAAAATAAGAATCTATAAGCACAAGCCAAACACAAAGTAGATAATAACATTTTATGTTTTAAAATGTTATTATGAACTTTGTGTTTGGCTTATGTTCATGTTTTAAAATGTTATGTTTGTATTCTTGCTAACATTTTACATTATAAATTTCTGTTGAAATGTGTCAGCAGGACTGATACATAACTAAAATCTTTGTTGTTTCTTGGGGAAAAAAAGACAAGTAATGGATATTATTTTAAACAATGACAAAACACTAGACTGAAGTATACTATCATTTGTAGAGAGCTCCTCTCTCCTGTCTCCATACTATCAATCCTACCATGTAGACCAGGCCATGAAATCAACTCCATAGAAAAGCTAAAAGAACTTTTATTGATTTAAACTATAATTACAGAATTGTGCTGTGTCTCGCCTCTTTCTTATTGTTGTTGTTAGTCACGAAGTCATGTCCGAGCCATCGCGACTCCATGGACAACGTTCCTCCAGGCCTTCCTGTCCTCTACCGTCTTCTGGAGTCCATTTAAGCTCACGCCTATTGCTTCACTGACTCCAGCCAGCCACCTCATTCTCTTCCGTCTCGTTCTTCTTTTGCCCTCATTTTTTCCCAGCATTAGGCTCTTCTCCAGTGAGTCCTTCTTCTCATTAGGTGCCCAAAGTATTTGAGTTTCATCTTCAGGATCTGGCCTTCTAAAGAGCAATCAGGGTTGATTTCTTCTAGGATTAACCAGTTTGATGGCCGTGCAGTCCAAGGGACTCGCAGGAGTTTTCTCCAGCACCATAAGTCAAAGGCCTCAGTTCTTTGGCGCTCAGCCTTCCTTATGGTCCAACTTTCACAGCCATACTCTTTATTACACTCGAGTGAATTAGAATATGTCTGTCTCAACTATCTCCAAATGATACCTGGACATTCTGGAATTAAAAAGCTCTTTAGCTTCTTTAGCTTAGCCAATAGCTCCTGCATATCTTTGTCAAAGCCTTCTTCTATACTCTATACTCTTACTATATGGTGGCTAACCTTTTTGGGCTCCTGTGCTGCCAGCACCCAGAAGGCAATGCGCACACACCCCTCAAGCCCCATGCACGTGCGATCCCCCTGCTTCCACCTTACCTGCACTCCATATGCATGTGCCTCCCAGCTGATTTTTGGGCCTTTTTCGGCGTCCCAAAGGCTTGAGGGAAGCCTCTGCAGCCTTTAGAGGCCGAAAAATGGGCCCATCTTGTCACTTGTGGTATTTCTGGAAATACATAGGCCTGTGAAATAGGCCTGTGTTTTGGCCTCCAAAGCCTGCAGAGGCTTCCCTCAAGCCTCTGGGAGGCTGAAAAAGGCCCAAAAATCAGCTGGGAGGTGTGCGCATGCGCAGTGAGGTAACTTTGCCTTGGGCTCACCTCCCCGCACAAATGGCTCTGCGTGCCTTCGCCATCACAGCTCTATACACATAGTTACTAGGACACTGAATTGCCTTATATTTCTCTCCCTTAAAGAACAATGAGCTTGAATGTAGCTTTAAATAATTGCTTAAAATTATGATTTTGCCTTAAGAAAACATATTCTGTAAAAGGCTGGTGCTTCAAAATGGAAAACATATGATAATCATCTAATTGACACCTTTTCAAAGGACTGATGTGATATGACTCTTTTAATTCTACTACTTCAAATTCATGAAGTAGGGCAATCCAAAGAGGGTACTAACATCTCAATATTCTGTGCACAAATAGTATGCACATATAAATGGCCAAAAGTCCAGAACCTACTATGGGATCTATATAAATCATAAACAGGGATGATCTGGAATTAAAGATCTCTGCCCCTCCTCTGCCATTTCCTTGCAAGTGATTTAAAAACAATGGTAGTTTAATAATTTTTACGCTCTGCAGTAGTTTAAGGTCTATAATTAATTGCTGTATTTAGCATTCATTATATCCTTCAGCAGCCATTATAATATGAAGAATTAGAATATTCATATATTATGATAATACTGGTACATTGCAATAAACCTCAACTTTCCATAAGTTAACAACAATATACTGGGAACAATGTTATGGAAGGCATGTAATTTGATGTTTGGCAAGGTAAAACCCTGAACAAGAATATTGTGCAATGTATTTAATTTGCTCTGCTTTTCCTCAGGGGCTTGTACTGCTGTTCCTTTGAAACCGGCTACAGCTTCCACTTACCCTGTAGGTGGGCCTTTCCGGGTTGAATTCACTGTATCCCCTGCTGAAAGTCTGGAAACAGTTTTATCCCAAGTCCATGCAATGCCAGAGGTGTCACTCATCGCAACTCAACCTGCCAGGTATTGCTGGAGACCAGCCTAGGTTATTTTTGTTGACTGACAAATTTTAATATGATAAAAGAGCAGGTTCTTTATCTATGACCAGACAACATTTTTGAGAATGTATAGAAAAAAAGTAGTATGTATTATTTTATTGTGCTAAAAGGCACTGTACTTTATATCCTCCCTCTTTGAGTTTTACAGAAAATATTTGATAATAGCTTAAACAGCTTGCAAAAATATTCTTACTTAATCAGGTAACTTTAGCCTATTTCAGAAATATCAAACTAACAAGTTTTGATTTCTACATAATAACATATTTTTACTTTAAGACCATATTCCAAGAAACCAGTGTTTTTCCTAAGTATTAGATGTACATCTGATGAGACATGCTACTTTGTATTACATTTCAAAACAAATAAGTTAATTGAAAGCTAGGAGCATTTTTAAGACCACTATAAGTAATAGGATGCATATTAAATTATAAGCATGAGCTTATCCTTCCATGCCATAAACAAAGAAGCAACCTCTTCTCATGCCAGACTTTAACTTTTCTAGCCAAATATTGTCTAATCTGATAGGAGTGGGTCTCCAACAATTAGCCAACAATGCCAAGCATTAAATTTGCAACCAGAATTATAAAAAGCACAATGATATACTTTGGTCCTACATTTTTGGGTGGTGTGGATCACAGTTTTCATTGATTACTGCATTTATTTTTTTATAAATAACTCAAGGCAGAAAACATACATAATATTCTTTCCTCCTTGTATTTCCCCCACAACAACTCTGTGAAGTGGGTTAGGCTGCGAGAGAATGACTAGTCCAAAGTACCCAGCTGGTTTTCATGCCTAGAACTTGCAATCTCCTAACTTCTAGTCCGCTTCCTTAAACAGTGTAGTACCAAACTGGCTCTCGCTGATAAAATGTCTAGCTTCCTGTCTGTGATCTTGGTGCTGAGGTAGAAGGGGACAGATAATCAAACACCTGAGAACCCAGGAAGGAGCTCCATAGTCTCTAAGGGCCATGCTTTTGAATTAGACCCACTCCCATACTCATCACACATTCATCTCCAAGAATATGGCCTTTCTCCACACAAAAGTGGCCCATTCTTCCCCCTCTCATGTGAGCTGAAGACACAAATAGATGGAAATGACAGCAGCATTATCTGCCTTAGATAGTCTTCTATCCTTGTTCAAATCTATGAATGGTATCAACCAGCATTTTCATATAGCTGCCAGGTGACTTGACAGATGGCATAAGTCCTGCTTAAACTTACCTGCCAAAGATTGTGAATGGTGGGAGTGGGTTGGCTTATGTATAATTACTAAAAGCAATGTATTTTGTGATCCACTCGTGAGAGAACTGGAGGTAACATTTATATATTCATTTTTGCAGTGTATTGTAAGGTTTTTTTATTAATATTTCTGTTCCAAATTTCCAAGGATTGAAGGAGAAGAACAAACACGTGTCAGCTTGAACTGTTCTCGGCTCGCTTTGTTGCAAGTAGTGGCCTTGCTTTCCCAGAAGAGCCTGCTGTATCAAACAACTGAAATCATATCACTAGAGAAGGTAAACCACAGATGAGCAAATCAAAGTTTATTTTCACAGAGAGTGTGCATAGCTGCAAAAAAGAATAAATGAAGATATAGTGATGTGATGGAGGAAGGTTGCTTAGCAAGAAAGTGAAAGGAATAATTTAGCAAAGAGATGTTCTGTTTCCAGTAGAAATAAAAGGGATTCTTTGAAGATACTTCTGCAGTTTCTTAGTATATTCAGGAAGTTTGAAGAAAGTACCAATAAGAGAAGATTGCTAAGAGATACTGTGACTGTATCAATAGTATACTGTGTTTTGAAAAATGAGGACCAGACACTTATTATTTCTCCATCCCAGCCATTCCTGAGAGAACATAAGGTACAGGCTCAAATGATTTCAACATTTAATAGAGCCATCTTCAATTTTTGCATTCTCTTCCCATCTTTTCTTTCAGCATATAATTAAATAAGCTTCATGGCTCCAAAAAAAAATTCCATTTTCCCATCTTTATTTTACCATTTGCTTAAGCAGCAACTGGAGTGCTGAAATGCTTGTCCATTCTTTTCTGAGACTTTGGGTATTAAGTACAAATAATCTTTGACTTATGATCACAACTGAGCTCAAGATTTTCATTGCTAAGCAAGGCAGTTGTTAAAAGAGTTTTGCTTCATTTTACAATCTTTTTGCCACAGTTAAGTGAATCACTACAGTTGTTAAGTGAATCAAGTGAGGCAAATCTGGCTTCCCCCATTGACTTTGCCAGATGCCAAGTGCCCAAATTTTTATCACGTGACCATGGGGATGATACAACAGTTATAAGTGTGAAAACCAGTCGTAAGTCACTTTTTTCAGTGCCATTGTAACTTTGGTCACCAAACAAATGGTTATAAATCAAGACTACTTGTATGTCATATGTCAGATCTGGAAATAGGACAAGCATAATCATTGAGTAATTTGGTGCATATGGGATAGTTGTGAATCACAAGCTGACCTTGATGTTCTCAAATTTAATATCATTTACATGTTACAATCCAACCTAAACATGTTTAGTCTCTTTCAAAAGGGGCTCGATCCCAATTAAATTTGCAAAAGATTGACAGCTATATTCAACTCATAGGTGCATGTCAAGGACAAATTGTGAAATATGTTGTGGTGCTTCTTGTACTTAGGAAAACAGGTTTATTTAAACCTGCCTTTGTTATTACAGCAAGATAACTGCCAGAGCACCTTCATTGTAACCATTTCAATTTTTGGCTTCTTTTCAGCCTCTGCTTGCCGATACTGGAATGGGACGTTTATGCACATTGCACGAACCAGCCTCTGTTTCTGTCTTGATTGAACGATTGAAAAGTCACTTAAAATTGTCTCATATTCGTCTAGCTCTTGGAGCAGGGAAATCACTGGGTATATATTTACTTTCTCATTTTATGTTGGCAGTGGACTTTTGCTACTTGGTACCTAAACCATTCGTGGTGCTTTATTTTGTGAGATGATGCTTATTAGGGCAAAATCAAGATGCATCTATTTTGAAGTGATTTGTTTGACTAATACATTCAGAAGAGCCACTTATAAAAACATCGAACAGTATTTCCCACTGATTGTTTAGGGTAAAGTATTATTGCTCTGCTATGGAATTAAATAAAATTAGTCTGGTTCAGCCAGACCAGTTATTTAAATCACTTGGGTTGTGGGGAAGGGAACATTATTTGAAAATTTAGCATATTTAAAATGTTTGGAAAGGACATCTTTAGACTAAAAACAATAAGAGTTCCTCTTCATAGAATGTGAAAAAAAGCAATCCACATCCATCGTTATACTTCAAAATCTTATTTGATCACATTGTGTTGCAACTGCACTCTAAGATGCTATCTTATATTGCCTACTTTTACAGAGCAATTAGAATTGCTCTGACTAGCAGTTCTCTTTTTAACTGAAGATGAATGAACCTGTCTATAAGGAACACCAAAGGATTTGCAGGATTACTAAAGGCCTAGGGAAACAACTATTGGTCCAGTCATGTATTCTAACCTGCAATCTTTAATTCATTACCTATCCACTCTGCATCATCTCAGGAAAAAAAACAAACCAAAACTAACCACAAAACATGCAGTCCTAAACTATGCTAATTGTTCTTTTTGTAGAATCCTCAGTGAAGGTGGTTGCTCTTTGTGCTGGTTCAGGAGCAAGTATTTTACAAGACACAGAAAGTGATCTCTATGTTACTGGTGAGAAGCTTTTTAAAACTGGATTTTGAAATAGATGTCTGCTAAAACCGATTTTCTTGTAGATCAGAAATACAATTTTCTATTAGCATTGTAGAACTAGCTAAGTTTGCCTAAATAAAATATTAATATCCCCCTTTCTGCAATATCCTTTATCCACTATTTATTTGAAATATGAAGAACCTGGTTTGCTGGAAGTAACCCAATTTTTTTATAAACTTAACTACAGTAATGCAATAACTTGCATACAGAGATCTGGATCTGGAAAAATTTCCTGAAAGCCTTTCGGGCATTTTGCTGCATATGCCTATATTTCAGATATTTTTGCATATTTAAGAACATAAATCATTCATTTAAAGTCTTTTACCTACTTCATAAGACCGGCAGGCTCTGGGGATAGTTTTACTTAAAAATTGTAAACAAATAAACCTTGCTCAAATGCTCCATCCCAAAAGACCATTCTCATTGTATTATAGGAGAGATGTCCCACCATGAGGTACTTGGTGCTGTTTCCAGAGGGATCTCTGTAATTTTGTGCGAGCACAGTAACACTGAACGAGGCTTTTTGTTAAAACTGCAACAAATGCTGGCTGTGTATTTTATGAATAAGATCAATATCATCGTTTCTGAAAGAGATAGAGACCCTCTTCAAGTTGTGTAAAAGAAGCAAACTTTGAGAAATAATGTAAGTATATATCCTAACAAAAATACTGGCAAAAATATGCTTTGATTCCTAAAATGTTAATGATAACAATAAAATGTTAACAAAATGAGTAAATGACTGATTGAAAAAAGCAAAATGACTTTATTGTAGCTAAGAACATTGGCTTACCTGAATGTTCGTTTTCTTCTGTGGCATAGAGTCCAGATAGATAGGGTTAAATCAGTTCCTGCCCTGTTGGACTGAGTCTGTGTTAAACCTGAAGCTCCGCCCTGCACCATGGCCATGCCCCAGCTTTCGACCAAGCACTTGGCCATGTGGACATGATTCTGGAGTTGTGAGATAAAAAAGAACATACATTATTGCTCCCCCCAACCCCCACCCAGACCAGTCAAACCAGGGTGGGGCTGGACTCTCTATGCCACAGAAGAAAACAAACATTCAGGTAAGCCAATGTTCATTTTCCTATCTGTGGCTCTGAGAGTCCAGATAGATAGGGATATACCAAAGCTGGCTGGTCCCTGGGAGAGCATGAGTCTGGTCCTACTCACATTGACGTTCGAGCACGCTGTGTAGAACCCTCCTGCCAAAAGCTGCATTGGCTGATGCAAAGGCATCCAAGCGGTAATGCCGAATGAAGGGTGATGGTGAAGACCATGTTTCCGCTCTACAAATCTCTTCAATGGGTGCTTGAGTAGCCCATGCTGCAGTTGTTGCCACACTTCTAATAGAGTGAGCTCTCACCCCTCGAGGCACCAGGAGAGACCTGCTCTGATAAGCCTTAGCTATGCAAGCCCTAATCCATCTCTCACTGTCAATGGAGACACTTTCAACCCCCTTGTGCCCAGCTGGAAGGACACAAAAAGTGCCTCCGACTTCCGGATAGAACGTGTCCTCTGGATGTATATCTAAGGCTCTATAGACATCCAGGGGGTGCCATGCCCATTCCAAATTATGGGTAGGATTGGGGCAGAAATTTGGAAGAAAAAGTCTTGAGCCCTGTAGAACCTAGAATTAATCTTAGGGGTGAAAGATGGGTCTAACCGCAAAACCACTCTATCTGGTTGGAAGACACACAAATCTTTCGTAACTGAAAGGGCTGCCATCTCTGAGATCCTTCTAGCCGAAGTGATGGCTACTAGAAATGCTACTTTGAGAGATAGGAAGTGTAAACTAATGGACCTGAGCGGTTCAAAAGGTTTGGCCATGAAGGCCCTTAGCACCTTAGGAAGATCCCAAGTGGGGAATCTGAACCACAGGAGGTCTAAGATTGGTGGCCCCTTTTAAAAACCTCCAGATGATTTGGTTGTGAGACAAGGACCCCTTCCTGTGTATGTATTTCCTGTGTATGAAGAAAGGGTGGCCACTTGTCTGCGTAGAGTGTTTGCCGAGAGCCCTTTGTCAAGACCCTCTTGTAAAAAATCCAGAATGTTAGCTACTGAAGCCAAAGTGGGGGAAATTCTATTCTTGATGCACCACTGGCAGAAGACCTTCCATGTGGCTTGATAGATGTGGTTGGTTGAAGGCCTCCTAGCCGCTAGAATGGTACGGGTGGCCTAATATATTTTGTCTCTTCAGAGTGCTCTGCTCAACCTCCAAGCGGTCAGATAGAACCACTGAGGCTCTGGGTGGGTTATTTCTCCTTGGTGTAAGGACACCTTGTGAGGAGGGATTCTCCATGGTTGGGTGGTCAAGAGCTTCACCAGATCCACAAAACAAGGGCGTCTGGGCCAGTAAGGAGCCAGAAGTATAACCTCTGCCTCCTCCTCCAGTATCTTTCTGACTACCGCTGGCAGCAGCGGAAGAGGAAGAAAGGCATACAGGAGACCCTGAGGCCACCTGCTCCTGAGGGCATTCGTCCGTTCTGCCCCCTGGGTTGCGAACCTGGTGAAAAATCTTGGGAGTTTGTTATTGGTTGGATATGCGAACAGGTCCACCACTGGTAGTCCAAACCATTGTGACAGCTCCTGAAATAAAGGGGGGGAATACTCCACTCTGAAGGGGAAATCTTAGCCCCGCTAAGCCAGTCTGCTTGCAGTTTCCACCCCAGAGATGTGTTCTGCCCTGATTGACAGGAGATTCCTCTCCACTCAATGGCTCAAACATTCAGCCTCTAACATTAAAGTCCTAGATCTGGTGCCACCCTGCCTGTTGATAACTACATTATCTGTTAAAATTAGGATGTGTGTGTTGTATGGTGTTTCTAAATTTCATGAGAGTCCATTGAACCGCTCTCAATTCTAACCAATTAATGTTCTTTCCCCTCTCCAAAACAGACCACTGGCTTTGGGCCAACTGTGACTATAAATGCGCCCTCCAGCCAGAGAGACTGGCATCAATAGTGATTACTGTTCGGGACGGCTCTCTGAATAATTGACCTGCATTCAAAGCCTGAGAAAACCACCATGACAAGGACCGCTTGACAGACCCAGGGACTGAGACCTTGAGAGATGAGTGACTTTTACCCGCCTTTTGGTTGGGCAACAGAAACCACTGAAGCTTTCTGGAGTGTAGTCTAGCCCAAGGCACGATGGAGATGCAAGAAATCATCTTTTCTAAGAGTTGAGAGAGAAGTGCCAAGGGGGACTTACCCGCTCTCACGACCTCCCCCACCATGTTTTGTAAACTGTCTTTGCATTCCTGTGAGAGGAATACCTTACTGTCAATCTTAGCTCCAAGATGCAATAAACATGTAAATGGTGAGAAATGATTTTTCTTGTTAATTGAAAAGTCATGGTCTCATAACAGTGAGACTGTCGCTTGGAGATCCTTTAAGGCCCAGTCATGGGAGGATGATTGGATTAAAATGTCATCCAGGTAACACTATACCCTTACTGGGATGGTTCTCAAGCGAGCTGCCAAGGCAGCCAAGACCTTAGTAAACATTCTGGGTGCAGAGGATAAATCAAAAGGCATAGCCCTATATTGGAAGTGACTCCCTTTGTAGCTGAAGCGTAAAATTCCCTGTGTGTCTGAGAAATTCTGATGTATAGATAAGCCTCTGTTAAATCAATTGAGGTGAGGAAGTTACCCTCCCTGATGCTCTGCAAAATAGAATGCATCCAGAAATGCTTGTACAACAAAAATTTATTGAGCCTTTTTAAATCCAGAATGGCTCTCCACCCCCCAGAAGCCTTGGGGACAATAAACAGTGGGGAGTAGAACCCCTTATCCTGTTGATTAACTGGAACTGACTGGATGGCTCTAATATCCAGTAGGTATTGGATGGCCTGTTCCATTAGTTTCCTACAGGAAGCCTCCTTGGAAATGGGGCAAGGCACATAAAATCTGGGGGGTTGTGACCTAAATTCTAGGAAAAGGCCATGTCTGATGGTCTTTAAGACCTAAGCGTTGGATGTAGTAGCCTCCCATTGGGCCACAAAATTGGATAACCTACCCCCAATGGGAGAACTGCTGTATTTAGTGGGAACACCGGAAAAAGCGACCTCCTCCCCCATGAAAGGGCTGCTTGCCTGAAAATTGGGGCCTATCTCTGGCCGCTCTTTCCTAGGAGTTGAAGGACTGACTCTGAGGCCCTTGAGCCCTGGTGCTGCCCTCAGCTCTGAAAGATGACCTGTGGGTGTATGGTACTGCTCTGTAACTGGACTGCCTTGCCAGAGAAGGAAGGTATTTCTTTTTATCTCTGGTCTCCACCAGATGGGGCTGTAAGACCTCCCCAAACAATTTATCCCCTTGATGAAGGCAGATGCCACCTTCCACTTCCGCCACCCATCGGCCTGCCAGTTTTTAAGCCAGACCATTCTGTGGGCTGCTACAGAAGTGGCACTGGCCTTTGAAGCAAATCTGGCATTGTTTAAAGTGGTATCCACAGTAAATTCGGCTGCTGTCACAAGTTTGTGGATGTCTTGGTACACTCAGACATCTGTGGCGGGGACCCTGTCTTGCAGTTGGTGCAGCCAACATAAGGAAGACCTCATAAAGAATGAAGCAGCCAAAGCAGCCTTGACCACCCAGGCAGCCGCCAGGTGGGTATGATAGAGGGATTGTTCTATCCTCTTGTCCTCTGCCTTCAATGCCTCCTCTGGATCAGCGGGGTTTGATGAGGAAGGAATCAAGGCTGCAACTGGACCGTCCACTAAGGTAATGAGCTGGTAAGTTCAGGCCCCATATTAAAGCAGCAACGTTCGCTGGCCGATAACATGGCAGATGTTCCCAGGGATTCCAGCTGTTTCTTGATAACATTCAAAAATAATCTAGGCACTGAAACCAATTCAGGCCAAACTGTTGATTCATCAAAATATTGGTCTGGAGGAGAAGCAGTTTCTTCTTCCACTTGCCCGATATCTGCTTTTGGTCCCAATCGGGCTGTCTTCCTGGCCTCAATAAGGCTCTGAACTTTTGTGAATCAAAGAGACTGGAGAAGGAAGATCTGTCCGGAGCAGTTTCTTCGTCTGCCGAGAAATCAGATTCCCTCGTCTTCCTCTGGTGTTTTATGTGTAAAGCTATGTATGGAGGGGTCAGGGGAAGCCCTGTCTCTCAAGGATTCTCTGCTTCTCTCCTGAATGGACTGTTCTAGGTCTGAACGTCGTTATACCACTGATTCAGGCCTCCTCATAGCTTGGAGGCCTTCCACAATACCTGCCTTATGGCTCTACAGGTAATTGCCTCCATGTGCGCGGGTAATGCTGCTTCAGCCTCTTCAGCAAGCCAGCAGCTGTGGGCATATAAGTTGCTGCCACCCCTGGTCTGGCTCTCTTTGGAGGAGGTGCCCTAGTTTCATCCTGGCAAACTGCTTGGGATCTCCTTCGTAATCTGAAACTCCCTCTATTGGGTGTGGATCCGCAATTATAGCTAAGTTATCAGGTGACCAGGCAAGATCCACTAGTGGAGCTAGAAGGCCCAGGCTCCATTTGTAAAACTGGAGGCAGAGCAGAAGAATCTGACTCCTGTAGTCTGGTGATCTCCGGCTCCTCCCACCAGCGGCACACTGGCTTTTCTCCACCTGCTTTTCTAGAGCTTTCTGCCTTCTCAAGGCATCCTGCTCCTCTGCCCTGGAAGGTTTCTTGGGTTCAGGGGCCTTTCTCTTCTGCCTGTCCCTAGATTTACCTCTAGAAGTAGAGGGACTGTGACCACCTTCCTGATCTTTATCTGCCATCCCACTGGGAGATTGGGATTAAGAAACACAGCCAGAGGGAGGATGGATCCTGGTGGGGAAGGGGATGAGGAGTTAATAACACATTTACAGCTTCCCCTTGCCAGTAAGGCCCCATGCAAAATAAAAACGGTCCTCTTACCTCTGAACTGGCAAAGCAAGCCTAGATAGGTCTACTGCTGGGCTGCAGCCACACACTGCTGGTCACCGCAATTTAATAATAGACCTGCGTACAGGTCTACTGGCACCTATGCAATCACCTAAGTTCTGTAGCTGGAATCACAGCCCTGGCAACATGGTCGATCTGCACCCTCAGCTGGGGTCAATCCAGTCCTCATCACTCTTCAGCGCCAACTGCTGCCCTCCCCACCTGGGATCAGGCCAATTGCCCGATCAAGTGGCTGCTTTGTGCTGCTGCAAAGCCTCCTCTGGGCCAATTGCCCCTTTTAGCTGCTGCTGCTTGCTGCTATGCTTTGCAGCCAAGGCAATCAAATAGAAACCGAAAGCGAAAACAGTGCTGGTCCTCCTTGCTGCTGCTGTGGTACTGTGCACAACAGCAGATAGCCCTTATCAGGCCAATCACCTGGAGCTGCTTCATGTGTTCGCAGCTCCGCGTATTGGGGCAGCCGCCCTGAAGGCGATAGCCAAGCCTGGAGGCTAAAAGCTTCATTCCTTGCCTGCAGTCCTCCAAAAGCCTCTGCTGCTCTTTAAAACTTTTGTTATGGAAAAAGCCTCCACTTGCAATTCAAGTAGAGCCTCAGCAACTCACGTCCTGTCCTGGCAGGACTGAGTCGAAAACTGGGGCATGGCCACAGCGCAAGGTGGTGCTTCAGTTTTAATGCAGTCCAACAGGGCAGGATCTGATTTAACCCTATCTATCTGGACTCTCGGAGCCACAAATAGAAAAAAAGTACATTTGAATGTTTAGATTTTTGTTTTACATTTTGAGAGTATCAAGTTGGAGGAAAGCTTATGGAGAGTTTCCAATTAGCACTATTCTCTTTCTGTCCATTCATATTTAGACTGCCTCAGTCATTTTATTCACTCCAACACACTATCCTTGTCCTCTTTTCCTTCTCTGAGGTCAATTTTGCTGGTTACCCTAGTTTCTAATTGTACTTTCTGTATAATGATATGCATTTTTATCACCAGATTTGAATCCATTTGTCATCCATTAACATCAACTAAACATTTCCTATGTCATCTATATCAATATAACATAAAACTCTGAAGCCAAATTTACTTCAGGAGTGGTATGGGAAAAGAGATATTCTGGTAGAGTCTAGAAACAGTATTTTCAAGTTAAAGCTCTCTCAGTATTTAAAGAACAGTTCTCTAAGACAAAGAAATAGTTACATGGTATAAAAGAACCATACAAAAGGACATAATGCATGTTTATTTTTATTCAGACAGCTTTTAAAAAATCATTAGGTAAGAAAAACAGGTTAAATGAGCATATTTGCAGTTGTTCTTATTGACAAAAACTCACAGCTGTCATACTTAAAAATGGCTTAAATAGGGGGAATCATTTGTTCCCAATTAAGGCTAAATTTTTCATAAAGATATCCACATCTCTGGTTATCAATGGTTTATTTTGCTCAAGTCCAACCAGTTTCCTAATCCAATCCTTCCATCCCACATGACACACATTTGAAGATCAGTAATGGTCTGCCTATGAAGTATTAAAAAGATACCAGGCAATAGCTGAATTCAGCTATTAATAGCCAATCGTGTGTATTGTCAAACACAAGTTCTCCAGTTCAATCCTTATTTCCAGAAGATTTATGAACAGAAGGCACACTAATATCAGTGGATGACCTTTTCTTGGTCTATAATAATATAAACTGGCAAAGGGAGAAACCTGAGCAGCTAGAAATTGGCTTGGTTTATACGGCATCACATTCCATTATTACAGGTAGATTAGACTCCTGAGATCTGCAAAATGGCCACAGGATAAAATTCAACAATTCTTAATAGAATTGCCCTTGAAAGGATGAGCCTTCAAACATCATTATCTTTTTGCAAAAAGTCAACCAATATTCCAGCATCCATAGGAATTAATAAATATTCCACTCCATCAGCACCCTGAAAATAAATTGAGAATTAGTTTAGAAATATATATTTTTTAAACTTATTCCCTTAGTACAGGGGTCTCCAACTTACGGGCTGTGGCCCACTACTGGGCCGTGGCTTCTTGGCCACCGGGCCACATGAATGGTTGACCAGTGTGCGCATATGCATCCACCCCACACTTGCATTAGCTTTGTGGTATTGTGTGGGTGCTAGTGATGCCATGAGTGCACCCAACTTGCACTGCATTGTGCAGTAACTAGTGATGGCGTGTTGTGTGGGCTCTAGCTTTGCCATGAGAGCAAACCCCCCACTCACACTAGCGTTGCAGGAGCATGTAGGTACTTGCGTCACCCAAGCATCACGTGGGCACTTGCAGCACTGTTTGCATCACACTCTCAACCCCATTCATGCACACACGTGCACATATAAAGGCGCATGCCCTTTCCCCATGGCCACCAACCC